CCCCAAAACCCCAAAACCCCAAAACCCCACACCTCTGAATAAATATTGAAAATAAAATTAAAATTGTCATTATATAATAATAAAATGGAAAACATTACCAAAGCTGTTGAAGAAGAAAACAAAGAGATAATCAGGTAATCGAGAACTGAATTTAAGATTGCTCCAAATTTTTATCCTCTTCTTTGCCACAGGCTCTAAAATTTTAATGTCGAAGCTAAAATTCATCAACTTTTAAAATCATTACATCAAACTTTTGTTTAACAAGAAGCTACAGCTTAGACTGAAGAGGATTTGTCTGCATCAATTCTTCAAAATCCATTAACTACCTCGACATATTGAGTTTTCTTCCAAAGGCTTAAACTTCAGACTTATAAATATTTCAATTAACACTCTTTCGTGAACCCAACTTAAACTTTCTGATGGATTCTGACATTAGTCTAATTCCTCGGCCACCTCTAATTATGCAGTCTAGAGAAGTCTATTCTGAAAGAAACCAAGAAGCAAGATATCACCAGATGCCAGAGCATTGTCTATAAGATTTGATCTGGACAAGGAGAGATTAACCCATTGGATTCAGAGTCTGGAGAAGTTCCACGAAATAGTAACCTTTGGATTTATTGCAAAGAGTTTAAATATGAGAAGCTTGCGCAAAATTTAAAGTATCTCAAGTTCTTTGATATAAGCCAGATTTGGGTTCATGGCATCAGTTCTAAAAATAGACATTTTGCAGATTTCTTCGAATTCTCGTTCCCAAATAAAACTAATTCGATCCATTTCTATTCCAGCAATAAAATGGATCTGAATAGGGCCAATTACTTAAACTCCCTGACCAGGCTCAGTTCTAAAGTCATTCAAAGAGTTACACTCGAGTCTTTCAACATTGGCCTCCCCCAACTGAAGAGACTGGTGGCAGCTTACAAACATGTCAGAGTGATGGGATTGATTCAATGCACCTTATCTATTCCAAGTGTTCCTGATTTTTCAAAGGCTCTTACTAATTGCCAAATTCAGGAACTAAATTTAGAAGGATCAGGAGATTTCTTACAGAAGTGACTGGGGGAACAATCTTGACCAGTTCAAGAACTTGATACAAGGACTAGCTAGTTCTCAGGATTTAAGATTGAGTCTCAAAGAGGTATGTATAAATTATTGCGGAGTAAACCAAAATGAAGCCGAACAAATTTTTGAAGAAAACCAGCTTGGAGATGTGGAAATAATTGAGGATTATTAAATTTTGGTCAAATTTATCTTTTTGCTTCATTTGTTAGAATTCTGCCATTTCTCCACAATTGACACTTAGTGAGTGTTAATATATTTTGGGGTTTCGATTGAGCTTGTGTCAATTATTGAGCGAGTAGCGCAGCTATAGTATTTAGTCATCTCTTATTGATATAGAAGAGGTATAGAAAAGGTCCGTTCATCTCCAAGTATTCTTATAATATTGAATGGCTAAATGCCATTTAAACTAGAGCTTTAAAAAATTGATTTTTTTTAATTCATACGATTTCATAGAATCACAAACTTTGATTTCATTGCCTTAAATATTAATTATAAAGGGTAAAATTGATCATTTCCTTCAATATTTACCTGAATTATCCTGCTTTGAATATTCTCTTAATAGCTAACAAAATGTTGGTTACTTAAAACAATTATCCTAAAAAATACTCATCATGCATAAAAAAAAATTAATTTCTAAAATCACACAACAGCCAACATCAACCCCATCTACCACTACTTCAAACAACCTTTATCACTCTACCAGAAATCCCCCTAAATCTACCCAACCATCATGAGCACCATCTCCAATCCTCCTGCCATTACAATCACACTACACCCCTCTCTCATCTAAAATCAACCTAACTCACAAAAATCTCCAGGCACAAATTCATCCCTTTCAGCTCCAGTTGCCCACTAGTAAGGGCTAGGGGAGCTGACTCAGGGCTGGGAGGGATCTTTAGGTGGGGAGGGTAATGGGAGGGGAAGAGAGGTGGAGGGGGTGGATCAAATTGGTGTTTTTGGGTATTGTTATAGAAGAGGGGTGTTTGTGTTATTAGAGGTGGATGATAAACCTAATTTTAGCATGCTCTATGATGACTTCATATAACTCGAATTTATAATATTGGCTTAGAATAAAGATGGGGTTTTGGGGTTTTGGGGTTTTGGGG